TGAGTCATATGGTTGTTATGTTCCCTGCTGTGAGGGAGCCCTCCCCTGCAGCCCACAGTGACTCAGAAGGCAGCTGTTGAGAACAGGAAGGCCTGTGGTTCATGTGACAAGCCACCAGCCTTTACCAGAGCAAACAAAGTAGGTGGGATGTTCCCCATGTCCCTTGCCCACCAGTTTTATACCACATTTCAGAGTTGCCTTTTTTTTCCTTCCTCAGACTGCTCTGGATTTTCTCTTTGACCTACTTTGATTTGTGGAGAAATGCTGTTGAAAGGGCCTGCTGAGATTTTGTCCTGGCCTGCCTCGCTGAAGAAGGCCAGCAATCTGTTTGCATACCAAGAATTAAAAAAAAATGTTTCTGTGCTTCAGAGATTACTGAATACTCTCTAAAATAAATCCATTCCTTCTAACCAGTATCATTTTTGCTAGTTGGGAAGATGAAGCTGTCAATCTTCAGTAGCCAATCTCTAGACAGATTTCTTTCTTTCTTTTTTTCTTTTTCTCTTTCTTTTTCTTTTCTCACAGTCTTGCTGTCACCCCAGGCTGGAATGCAGTGGCACAATCTCAGCTCACTGCAACCTCCACCTTCTGAGTTCAAGTGATTCTCCTGCCTCAGCCTCCCGAGTACCTGGGAATACAAGCACACACCATCACATCTGGCTAATTTTTTTATTTTTCATATAGACGGGGTTTCACCATGTTAGCCAGGCTGGTCTGGAACTCCTGAGTTCAAGTGATCCACCCACCTCAGCCTCTCAAACTGCTGGGATTACAGGCATAAGCTACCATGCCCAGCGCCAATCTCTAGATTTCTAGAGACCATACATCTTCACAGTTTCTTGGAAATTTTCCTTACTGGATTTAAGTCATTGTTCTCCAAAGTGTGTTCTGAGAACTACCTACATTTGAATAATCTCGATTAAGGTATCATCTCTACGGAAAGACCCTTTAATCTGTTTTTTTTTTTGAGACGGAGTTTCGCTTGTTACCCAGGCTGGTGTGCAATGGCGCGATCTCTGTTCACCGCAACCTCTGCCTCCTGGGTTCAGGCAATTCTCCTGCCTCAGCCTCCTGAGTAGCTGAGATTACAGGCACGCGCCACCATACCCAGCTAATTTTTTGTATTTTTAGTAGAGACAGGGTTTCACCATGTTGACCAGGATGGTCTCGATCTCTTGACCTCGTGATCCACCTGCCTCAGCCTCCCAAAGTGCTGGGATTACAGGCATGAGCCATCGCACCCGGCCGGTTTTTTTTGTTTGTTTGTTTCTTTTTTTGAGACAGAGTTTTGCTCTTGTTGCCCAGGCTGGAGTGTACTGGCACCATCTGGGCTCACTGCAACCTCTGCCTCCTGGGCTCAAGGGATTCTCCTGCCTCAGCTTCCCCAGTAGCTGGGATTACAGGCATGTGCCACCACGCCTGGCTATTTTTGTATTTTCAGTAGAGACAGTTTCTCCAAGTTGGTCAGGCTAGTCTCAAACTCCTGACCTCAGGTTATCTGCCCACCTCAGCCTCCCAAAGTGCTGGGATTATAAACATGAGCCACCACATCCAGCCTCTAATCTGTGTTTTCAACAAGCACCACAACTCACCAAAATTCATTTTTATGCCCTAAACTCAGCTAAATTAGAGTTCACAAGCCATCACTGGTAATGTGATGCACAGGACTCAGAGGAGGAGTCTTATGACTTTCCTATTTCTATTTCTGTATTCCTTCTCCCTGCCAAAATGCCATTTTTTATTACATTGGTTACTGCAGAAGCAAACAGGGAAAAAAACAGGAAAGAACGGAGGAAACATCAATGTTCCCCCTTGGTTATATTGGTGTGGAAAACAGGCCTGCGTTTAGAAAGCAACGCAGCAGAATGCTTACGGATCATTCACAGGCCCGGGGCGGTGGCTCAGGCCTGTAATCTCAGCACTTGGGAGGCTGAGGGGAGTGGATCATTAGGTCAGGAGTTCGAGACCAGACTGGGCAATATGGTGAAACCCTGTTTCTACCAAAAATACAAAAATTAACCAGGCATGTTGGCGTGCACCTGTAGTCTCAGATGCTCAGGAGGCTGAGGCAGGAGAATTGCTTGAACCCTGAAGGCGGAAGTTGCAATGAGCCAAGACTGAGCCACTGCACTCCACCCTGGGCAACAGAGCAAGACTCTGTCTCAAAAAAAAAAAAAAAAAAAAAAAGAGTCATTTACGAAGCTTGGTGAAACCACAAATTCCCCTTTTCCCCATTCTAATAAGTGGGTATGGGGTGGGGTCTGAGAACCTATATTTGTAAAAATGCCTACAGTGATTCTAATGTAGGTTGATCTGGGGGTACATGAGGATATTTCTTGTTCAATATACTGGAGCCCAGAGCTAGAAGTCCTCTTTGACAGCTGCTCTTCAAACTGTTGGCAAAAAGACCTAAGTAATTTTACAATTATAAAGACATATGTGGATTCTCTGTCACAGGGCAAATTCCCAAATTGGGGATCAGCCCAGGAGGCCATGAGGGTTCTTGACTTTTGGCAGGAAAGAATTTAGGATTCAGGAGCAAGCTGACAGAATAAAGTGAAAGCAAGTTTATTAAAAAGTAAAGGAGTGGGCCGGGCGTGGTGGCTCAAGCCTGTAATCCCAGCACTTTGGGAGGCTGAGGCGGGTGGATCACAAGGTCAAGAGATCAAGACCATCCTGGTCAACATGGTGAAACCCCGTCTCTACTAAAAATACAAAAAATTAGCTGGGCATGGTGGCACGTGCCTATAATCCCGGCTACTCAAGAGGCTGAAGCAGGAGAATTGCCTGAACCCGGGAGGCAGAGGTTGTGGTGAGCGGAGATTGCGCCATTGCACTCCAGCCTGGGTAACCAGAGCGAAACTCCGTCTCAAAAAAAAAAAAAAAAAGTAAAGAAGTGAAACAGTGGCTATCCCATAGGCAGAGTAGCAGCATGGACTGCTTGACTAACTATACTTATGGTTATTTCTGGGTTACATAAGAAAAAAGGGGTAGATTATTCATATTTTCCGGGAAAGGGGTGGGGGGTTCTCAGAACTGAGGGTTCTTCCCATCTCCTACTATCTAGAGTAATTTAGGGATGTTGCCACAGCATTTTAAACTGTCATGGTGCTGGTGGAAGTGTCTTTCCGGGTGTTTATGATGCATTCAAATTAGCATATAATGAGCAATGAGGATGATCAGAGGTCACATTCTTTGCCATCTTGATTTTGATTTTGGGAGGTGGTTGGCCAACTGTTTTTTTTGTTTTTGTTTTTATGTTGCTAGGCTGTTCCTGAACTCCTGGCCTCAAGCAGTCCTCACACCTCGCTTCCTAAGTGCTGAGATTACAGGCAGGAGCCACCACACCTAGCCCTTGGCTGGGTTCTGTTCTGCATCCTGTTTTATAAGCAGGGTCTTTGTGACCTACTTCTTGTGAAACAAGTCCTGCCAAATTCCTGTATCGTAACTAGCTAGCATTTAGTTTTAGTATATTCCGTGTTTGTCTTAAGATAGTATGTACATTTTCCCCTAGAGCAGCCAAAAAGAAAAGGATAATGTATAATTTGTATTTAAAAGAAATATTGGGGCAAAGTGCGGTGGCTCACATCTGTAATCCCAGTACTTTGGGAGGCTGAGGCAGGTGAATCACCTGAGGTCAGGAGTTCAAGACCAGCCTGGCCGACATGGCCAAACATTTTTTCTAGTGTCTACTAGGGAAAAAACAAAACAAAACAAAAAAACATTAGCCAGGCATGGTGGTACCTCCCTGTAATCCCAGCTACTCAGGAGGCTGAGGCAGGAGAATCGCTAGAACCTGGGAGGCAGAGGTTGCAGTGAGCTGAGATGGTGCCACTGCACTCCAGCCTGGGCAACAAAGTGAGACTCTGTCTCAAAAAAAAAGAAAAGAAATACTGGCTAACATTTCTACAAATAAATGAGCCATCTGGTAGAAATAATACTTTCATGTGATTTCATTTAAAAATATAAATTTTGGCTGGGTGCCGTGGCTCATGCCTGTAATCCCAACACTTTGGGAGGCCAAGGTGGGTGGATCACCTGAGGTCAGGAGTTCGAGACAAGCCTGGCCAAGATGATCAAATCCTGCCTCTACTAAAAATACAAAAAATTAGCCGGGCATGGTGGCACACACCTGTAATCCCAGCTACTCAGGGGGCTGAGTCAGGAGAATCACTTGAGCCTGGGAGATGGAGGTTGTGGTGAGCCGAGACTGTACCGCAGCACTGCAGTCTTGACAACAAGAGCAAAACTTCGTCTCAAAAAAAAAAAAAAATTAGCTGAGTGTGGTGGCGCACACCTGTAATTCCAACTACCTGGGAGGCTGAGGCACGAGAGTCACTTGAACCTGGGAGGCAGAGGTTGCAATGAGCCAAGATAGTGCCATTGCACTCCAGCCTGGGTGACAAGAGCGAAACTCCATCTCAAATATATATATACATATTTTTTGATATACAAATATACAAATATTTGAGTATATATATATATATATATATATTCCAAATAAAGTTTAAAAAAAAAGATTGATAGACTAGGAGAAGATGCTTGCAATGTCTACAATTAATGGGAGATTTTAGAGCTAGAATAGCAGCTTTCAAAGTGTGGTCTATGGACCATGGTGTCTCCAAGAACATTCAGAAGGGTCTACAAAGTCAATACTATTTTTATAATAATGCAAAGACTTTATTTGCCTTTTTCATGTGTTGACTTTTGTACTCATTGTCCAAAATCAATGTTGGATAGAATTTATGCCCAGTTTTCTGGCTTGGGCAATTGAGTGGGTCATGGTACATTTACTGAGACACAAAACATGAGAATAGTATCCTAAGGGGAAGGAAAGAATGATTTTGGATGTGTTGACTCTGAGATGCCTATGGGACATCCACATGGAGTCACATATATGGATCTACAGCTCAAGGGAGTACTGAACTGCAGTCAAGGTTACTTAGGCAAGATGAGTAGTCATTATTCTTTACATTACACTCTAGTTTTCCTGACTAGTGTATACCCTCCTGATATACTCTTTTTCTCAAGGCCACATAGCCATTTACCAATTTGTGTAAACTTGAGCAAGTTAAAAAACAAACAAAACACTCAGCTGGGTGTGGTGGTGGCTCACGGTAATCCCAGCACTTGGGGAAGCTGAGGGGGGTGGATCATGAGGTCAGGAGTTTGAGACCAGACTGGGCAATATGGCGAAACCCTGTCTCTACCAAAAATACAAAAATTAGCCAGCATGTTGGCGTGCACCTGTAGTCTCAGCTGCTCAGGAGGCTGAGGCAGGAGAATTGCTTGAACCCTGGAGGTGGAGGTTGCAGTGAGCTGAGATTGCACCACTGGACTCCAGCCTGGGTGACAGAGTGAGATTGCATCTCAAAAACTAAAAAACCTTGTTTCTCAATTTTCTTATCTATAAAACAAGATAAGGTGATGGTAGCAACCTTGATTAGGCACCAAAAAAAAAATGAGATAAGAAACTTTGTTATAGGATTGTGGTATTAACAGATCTGTGTCGAGTGCTAAGAATAGTGCATGGTACATAGCAAACACTAAAAAAAACCCGCTATTTTATAATTACGGCACCAGTACTTTTTTTTTTTTTTTTGAGATGGAGTTTCGCTCTTTCTGCCGAGACTAGAGTGAAGTGGTGCAATCTCAGCTTACTGTAACCTCCACTCCCCAGGTTCAAGCGATTCTCCTGCCTCAGCATCTCAGGTAGCTGGAATTACAGGCATGCACCACAACACCTGGCTAATTTTTGTATTTCTAGTAGAGATGGGGTTTCACCATGTTGGCCAGGCTGGTCTCAAACTCCTGACCTCAGGTGATCCGCCCGCCTCAGCTGCCCAAAGTGCTGGAATTACAGGCATGAGCCACTTCACCCAGCCAGTACTTTTTTTTGGTAGCACTTATCACAATTGTTGGTATATAGTTATCAAGTTATAAGCTTCATCAAGAGTTTGGGTGTGGATCTCTGCTGTATCCATAGCACTGGTATATATAGTAGATACTCAACAAATACTTATCAATGAATTAATAAATAGATCTCCAAGAGTGGTTATAGTACTGTTGTAATTTCCCTTCTACCTCAAAGCTGCTTTTGATTTAACTCCTCTCAACAGGTTGGAGAAGTGAGTTCATCATTACTTGTCCTCCATTATGTATAGCGCTGTGTCCCCACAATCCCTATGATGCTGAACATATGAAAGGGGATCGATACATTTTAGGTATTGGTTGATTAAATGATGTGGATTGATACTCATCTCCTACCTCAACTTTGCCTACTGTCAGATAAGAGGCAAAGAGAAATATTAGAGAAGCAACTCTCAGATTACAGACATCAAAATTTTACTTGGGTCTTTTGAAATATAGTCTGGCAATCATAGGAATTTGTCTGTTTTTGTCCACTGTTGGTCTGAAAAATCAAATACCCTAGGCCAAGAACCTAATGGCCGGTAACTACTATAGTATTGAGCATTATACATATTAAATTCTATGCATGACCAATATTATAAATTAAAAGGTTTTAAAGTAATCAGAAAGTATTTGTCTTTTTTTTTCTTTGCAAATGGATGGGTAAATATCCACTATTCCTCTCTTCATTGTAGCAAAATCATAACTATATTAGAGCATTAATAGCTCACTAGCAGTGTGGCTTTGGACAAATCATTTCTCTCTGGACGTAAATTTCCTTGTCGACAAAATGAAGAGATTGGCTATAAGGTCTCTTCCAATTCTAACATCCTTCTTTTTCTATTTCATTCAATGAAAATTACCACATAGGGCCAGGCGCGGTGGCTCACATCTGTAATTCCAGCACTTTGGGAGGCCAAGGTGGGTGGATCACGAGGTCAAGAGATCGACACCATCCTGGTCAACATGGTGAAACCCCGTCTCTACTAAAAATACAAAAAATTAGCTGGGCACGGTGGTGCGTGCCTGTAATCCCAGCTATTCAGGAGGCTGAGGCAGGAGAATTGCCTGAACTTGGGAGGCGGAGGTTGCGGTGAGCCGAGATCGCGCCATTGCACTCCAGTCTGGGTAACAGGAGCGAAACTCCGTCTCAGAAAAAAGAAAATTACCACACAAATTAACTTACCCCTGGCCAGGGCGGTGGCTCACACCTATAATCGCAGCACTTTGCAAGGACAGGGAAGGTGGATCACCTAAGGTCAGGAGGTTGAGACCAGCCTGACCAACATGGTGAAACCCCATCTCTAAAAATGCAAAAATTAGCCGGATGTGGTGGTGCACACCTGTAATCTCAGCTACTCAGGAGGTTGAGGCAGGACAATAACCTGAACCAGGGAGGCAGAGGTTGCAGTGAGCCGAGATGATGCCATTGCACTCCAGGCTGGACAACAAGAGGGAAACTGTCTCAAAAAAAAAAAAAAAAAAAATTAACTTACCTCCGTTTTATTCAGTTTTCTTATAGGTTTATGGACAAATAAGACTCAAGTTTTCCTTAAATCTGGAGGTAAATTTTTTTAAGGTTGTGTATATGTTCCTACAAGAGAATTTTCTTTGAAAAAAAAATACTGGGGCTGGGCGCGGTGGTTCACTCCTGTAATCCCAGCACTTTGGGAGGCCGAGGCGGGCAGATCACAAGGTCAAGAGATCGAGCCCATCCTGGCCAACATGGTGAAACCTCGTCTCTACTAAAAATATAAAAATTAGCTGGGCGTGGTGGCAGGCACCTGTAGTCCCAGCTACTCAGGAGGCTGAGGCAGGAGAATCACTTGAACCCAGGAGGCGGAGGTTGCAGTGAGCCGAGATCGTGCCACTGTACTCCTGCCTGGCGACAGACCGAGACTCCGTCTCAAAAAAAAAAAAAAAGAAAAAAAAGAAAAAGAAAAAAGAAAAAAAGTAAAAAAGGAATTTGGGAAGAAACCTGGTTAAAAAAAGAAAAGAAACGAAAATACTGGGCTGGGCACAGCGGCTCATGAGGTCAGGAGTTCGAGACCAGCCAGGCCAACATGGTGAAACCCGGTCTCTACTAGAAATACAAAAATTAGCCAGGCATGGTGGTGCATTGGCTCACCGAATGCTCCGCCTCACACCCGGCTAATTTTTGTATCTTTTGGAGAGATGAGGTCTCCCTGTGTTACCTAGCCTGGTCTTGAACTCCTGCAGTCAAGTGGTCCTCCCACCTCAGCTTCCCACAGTGTTGTTATTACAGGCATGGGACACTGCACCTAGCTACTCAGGAGGCTGAGACTGAAGAATTGCTGGAATCCCGGAGGCGGAGGTGGCTGTAAACTGAGATCGTAGTGCTGCACTCCAGCCTTGGGGACAGAATGAGACTCCATCTCAAAAAAAAAAATAAGAAAATAAAGTAAAATAAAATAAAATACTGAACCAGCCTGGGCAGCCAAAAAACAGAAAAATTAGCTGGGCATAGTAGCACATTCCAATAGTCCCATCTACTCGGGAGGCTGAGGTGGGGCAATCATTTGAACCCAGGAGGTCAAGGCTGCAGCGAGCTGTGACTGTCCCACTGCACTCTAGTCCGGGTGTCAGAGTGAGACCTTGAGAAAAGAGAGAAGAAAGTGAAAATTGAAAATATAGACTTTTTCCTATTTGGCCATTAGATGTCGCTCAACATCCAGAAAGTGGAAGAAACCAGATGTACACTATAAAGCTCCTGCCCTAGTACCCCAGGGGTGACCCAGTCGCACCAGTGGTTTGTTTAATTATGTACTGGTATTTGTGTGTCAGTGTCTTGCCATATATAGCCAAAAATCTCCTTAACCATCCAGAAAACTTGTTGACTATACATCTTATTTATGTATTATTTATTTAAAGAGACAGGGTCTTGCTGTGTAGCCCAGGTTAGAATGAAGTGGTGCTAGCATAGCTCACTGCAACCTTGAACTCTTGGACTCAAGCAATCCTCCCGCCTCAACCCAAACATCTCAATTTTATCATTTCTTTTTATTTTTTTGAGACAGAGTCTCTGTCCCCCATGTTGGAGTGCATCAACACAGTCACAGCTCACTGCTGCCTCAAGTTCCTGGGCTCAAGTCATCCTCTTGCCTCAACCTCCAGAGTAGTTGGGACTTACATGTGCTCACCACCATGCCTAGCTAATTTTTTTTGGGGGGGGACAGAGTTTCACTCTTGTTGCCCAAGCTGAAGTGCAATGGCGTGATCTTGGCTCACCGAAGGCTCTGCCTCACACCCAGCTAATTTTTGTATCTTTTGGAGAGATGAGGTCTCCCTGTGTTACCTAGCCTGGTCTTGAACTCCTGCAGTCAAGTGGTCCTCCCACCTCAGCTTCCCACAGTGCTGTTATTACAGGCGTGGGACGCTGCACCTGGCTAATTTCATCACATAAGCCAATGTATAGCTGTTGAACATTTAGCTGACTACATACCAGGATCAATAAGCTCTATGTCGGAATTCCAACTCGTCCTGCAGGACCTAGATCAAATGCCACTTCCTCTGCGGGACTTTCTTTGACCTTCCTAACCAAGAGCACCATAGAAAAATCTTTGTCACAGTATTTTTGTATTGTATTCATTTATACACCTACCTCCCCAAATTCTGGAAAAGATTCCCAGTCTCCTTCATAATATAAGAAATGCACACTAAACTACAAAAATATGCTATTTTAGCTTAGATGGTAAACATCAACGGTTCTGATATTTGGTTTAGGATAATAGGCATTCTCATATATTTTTAGTGGGAGTGTACACTGGTTTATGATTACCATTAATAGAAGACAATTTAGGGCTGGGCATGGTGGCTCACACCTCTAATCCCAGCACTTTGGGAGGCTAAGGCGGGCGGTTAATAAGGTCAAGATATCGAGACCAGGCTGACTCCATTTTTGGACTCAGTCCGCCTGCCTCAGGTGATTTGACAAAAAAAAAAAAAAAAAGAGAGAGAGAGATTGAGACCATCCTGGCCAACATGGTGAAATCCCATCTCTACTAAAAATACAAAAATTAGCAGGGTGTGATGGCGCGCACCTGTAGTCCCAGCTACTGGGGATGCTGAGGCAGAAAATTGCTTCAATCGAGGAGCTGGAGGTTGTAGTGAGCTGAGATCGCACTACTGCACTCCAACCTGGCAACACAGTGAGACTCCGTCTCCAAAAAAAAAAAAAAAGAAGATGGCAATTTGACTATTTAGAAGTATCTGTCCATTTTTATTTTTATTTTTTGAGACACAGTCTCACTCTGTCACCTAGGCTGGAGTGCAGTGGCACTATCATGGCTCACTTCAGCCTTGACCTCCTGGGTCAAGGAGTAAGGTCATCCCACCTTACTACCCAGGCCCCAGGTCCCAGGCAAATAAACTGATAAGATTTGACCTGAGAAGGAATAACAATAGTAGCATGAATGTGTTTTTGGCAGACTTGAGTCGGGGAAGGCAAATGTTGACCTGGAGGGGTGATGCTAGGTACGACAACTGGCAGGTGGGTGATGAAATGCCCACTTATACTGCCAAACACCTGTGGACAGTCCTGCACGAACCACACTAGGCCTCTTATTGTTAAATTGGCATCTTTTGCCGTATCTCTTTTTCCCCTCAGAGAAGAAAAATATCCTGGCACTCGCCACCTTCAGTCCCCTTCATTTTTCAGAATGCTGATATTTATGCTTGAGGAGTGCTTTACAGTAATTTTTAATTGGTTGCGTATTTCATAACCTGCACAGGGAAACTCAGGCATTGCCTGCAACTTTCCCATGCAGTTAGTGTTCCAACCTTGCACCACATTTCAGTACAGAATCTTTTTTTTTTTTTTTCAAGATAGAGACAGGGTCTCCCTATGTTGCCCAGGCTGGTCTTGAACTCCTGGGCTCAAAGGATCCTCCTGCCTCAGCTTCTCAAAGTGCTAAGATTACAGGCATCAGCCAGCCTTGCCTCAGTAAAGAATTTCGAGTGTAATTATGGTTTTATAATGAACTTTGGTTTCCTCAGATGAAGACTGAATTACAGCGTTGCAACTTCTATTTATCCACAAGCACATTACTTAATATTTGTTCTCATTACTACAGATTTAAAAAGCCTTTCAGCAAAAGGCTCTCATTTGCCTCTCACATGATTGTTGCCAGGAAATGAGAAACCAAATTACATCCTGAATATTCCTTGCTGCCTTAACAATAGATCTAAAACAATAACAGCCTCAAATTAAGATAAAAATAGAACTATGTGGTGGGGGGAGCTAACATTAGCAATATACACTGCTAATTTAGCACAGAACACTGATATAACCAATGTACTTTATGCATCACATCTGAACATTTATTTCATAAGCAATTATCAGCTGGATGTGGTGGCTCACGCCTGTAATCTCAGCACTTTGGGAGGCCGAGGTGGGTGGATCATTTAAGATCAGGAGTTCAAGACCAGATGGCCAACATGGTGAAACCCAGTCTTTAGTAAAAATACAAATATTAGCTGGTCATGGTGGCCCACACCTGTAATCCCAGCTACTTTGGGAGGTTGAGGCAGGAGAGTAACTTGAACACAGAAAGTTGCAGTGAGCCGAGATTAAGCTACTGCACTCCAGCATGGGTGACAGAGTGAGACTCCGTCTCAAAAAAAGCAGTTATTGAATACCTGGCATTTCTTTTACTTTTCCCCCTGATTTATAGTTAATAACTGTATTTGAATATTATGTAATCCTATATTCCAGGTGCTAGTTTAGGCACTTTATATATCATCTCATTTTTACACTTTGGCTTCACATGTCTATTCTCCTCCTAACTGCCTCTTTTCCTTCTGTAGCTCACAATTTGCCTCTGTCTTCTACTTTTTTACTCGTCTCTATTATTTACTTTCCTCCCATGATTTTTCTCTTTATTTCACCACTCTGTCCTCGGAAAACTTTTTCCATTTTTCCTGTGATTCCCACCCCTAACAGCCCCCATTCTTTTTTTCTTTGCTTGCCTATAGTGTATGTTGATTGATGTGAGGAAAGTCACAAATAGTTTTCCTTAAAAAAATTTTTTTTTGAGATGGAGTTTTGCTCTGTCACCCAGGCTGGAATGCAGTGGTACAATCTTGGCTCATTGGCTCACTGCAACCTTCCCCTCACAGGTTCAAGCAATTCTCCTGCCTCAGCCTCCTGAGTAGCTGGGACTACTGGTGCATGCCAACATGCCCAGCTAATTTTCATATTTTTAGTAGAGACAGGGTTTCACCATATTGGTCAGGCTGGTCTTGAACTCCTGGCCTTGTGAGTCAGGAGTATAGGTGAGAGGCCACCGCACCCAGACTCCTTAAAATACTTTAAAGTTAGGATGGGCGCGGTAGCTCATGCCTGTAATCCAGCACTTTGGGAGGCTGAAGCAGGCAGATCACAAGGTCAGGAGATGGAGACCATTCTGGCAAACACGGTGAAACCCTGTCTCTACTAAAAATACAAAAAATTAGCTGGGCAAAAATACAAAAAATTAGCCAGGCATGGTGGCACGCACCTGTAATCCCAGCTACTCGGGAGGCTGAGGTAGGAGACTTGCTTGAACCCAGGAGGTGGAGGTTGTGGTGAGCCGAGATTGTGCCATTGCACTACAGCCTGGGCAATAAGAGCGAGACTTCGTCTCAAAAACAAAAAAAACCTTTTAAGTTTTACTTATAACCAATAAGTGTATGAGGTTTTGGTGCTCCACCTCCTCACTATTTAAAAAATTTGTGCCATCCCAGTGGGTTAGTAGTAGTATGTCATTCAGTTTTTAGTTTGCATTTCCTTGAACACTTGGGAGGCTGATGGGGGAGGACTGCTTGAGCCCAGGAAGCAGAGATTGCATTGAGCTGTGATCATGCCACTGCAATCCACCCCGGGCAACTGAGCAAGACTCTGTCTCAAAAAAAAAAAAAAAAAAAAAAAAATTACCCTTTTTATTTTGTTACAAAGGGTAACATAATTTATACCCTGCTCTATATCTTGCTTTTCCATTTGGACAATTTTCCACATGGTTATGCCCATAATTTATTTAATTAGTTCCCTAGTGATGAACATTTAGTATATTTCCAGTCATTTTTTATTGTAAACAATGCCGCTGTGAATTACCTTGTACATACGGCATTTTGCAAAGGTGAAAGCTGGTATATAAACCAAACCTGTGTTTAAAGCCACTAAACTGCTACACCACACTGCCCCCCAACATGTCGTTAATTGATTCAAGATGATTCTTTCTAACTCCTCTCAATTGTTTTTTTCTTGAGACGAAGTTTTGCTCTTGTTGCCCAGGCTGGAGTGCAATGGTGCAGTCTCAGCTCACTGCAACCTCTGCCTCTCTTCAAAGGATCCTCCTGCCTCAGCCTCCTGAGTATCTGGGATTACAGGTGCCCACTGCCATTCCCAGCTACTTTTTTGTATTTGTAGTACAGACGGTGTTTCACTATGTTGGCCAGGCTGGTCCCGAACTTCTGATGTCAGGAGATCCACCTGCCTTGGCCTTCCAAAATGCTGGGGTTACAGGTGTAAGCCACTGTGCCTGGTCCACTCCTCTCAATTTTATGAGCACACTTTATGTTTTTTTATTCTTTTTTTTTTTTTTTTTTTTGAGACGTAGTTTCACTTTTGTTGCCCAGGATGGAGTGCAATGGCTCAATCTCGCTCACTGCAACCTCTGCCTCCCAGGTTCAAGCAATTTTCTTGCTTTAGCCTCCCGAGTAGCTGGGATTACAGGCACGCATCACCACACCCAGCTAATTTTGTATTTTTAATAGAGAAGGGGTTTCTCCACATTGGTCAGGCTGGTCTCAGACTCCTGACCTCAAGAGATCTGCCCACCTTGGCCTCCTAAAATGTTGGGATTACAGATATGAGCCACCACACCCAGCTTACTTTATGTTTTAATCTTCATGATGCTCAGCTCCCAGCTCCAGGTGCAGCCACTCTTGAATACCTGTGAAATTCATAAACATTCAATGTCCTCAAGCAGTCTTCTCCGGGAACCTTATCCATACTCAGATGACCCTGATCAGAGTCTAGAAAAGGGAAATAATAAACTCAGAGGACTTGAGAAAGATTTCCTTTGCTTATAAGTTAAGGTGAATATACTTTAGGAAGTAACCTGGAAGGGGAAACTGTTTGGGGCACAGAGAAAGCCTTTTCTAAGGAGAGACAATGATCTGACTCTTGCAAAGATTGATCGCATACTGGCATCCTGAGCAATATGCCACCTGATCATGTGTGACACGTAGCATGGGTCATTTTGGTCAGGCATGACCTTTCACTATGCATGGGACTAACTTTGCTCTAGATTGGAGTCATTTCCTGTAACATTTTAGTTACATCTACTTTGTGGTGCTAAGAGGCTTGCTGGTCTTATGATAAGATAGATAAATGACTCAGAAACTCTGTCTTTCTTGAACTTTGGTCTAATGTGTGTTGCAATGATGTGTACTCCCCTGTGAACTTTCACCTAGATAGCTGATCCCCTGAAATGATTAACAGTACTGCAGGTGGGCCTAATAATCCTCTTCATTCATTTTGAGATATCTAAATACTTCATAAACATTACCAAATACATGCAAAGTTAAAACTCCTGTGTGTGTGTGTGTGTGTGTGTGTGTGTGTATGTGTGTGTGTGTCAGAGTTACACTCTGTCATCCAGGCTGGAGTGCAGTGGATCAGTCTCCACTCACTGCAATGTTTGCTTCCCAGGTTCAAGCAAATCTCATGCCTCAGCCTCCCGAGCAGCTGGAGTTACAGGCATGAGCCACCACACCCGGCTAATTTTGTATGTTTTTTAGTAGAGATGGGGTTTTGGCCATGTCGCCCAGGCTAGTCTTGAACTCCTGACCTCAAATGATCCACCTGCCTCGGCCTCCCACAGCTCTGGGATTCCAGGCATGAGCAACTGTTACTGGCCAAAACCTCTCTATCTTAGTCATAACAAACAGCACAGGTCTATAATTTTCATCTTGTGGAAATAGTAATAAATAATACTTACAGAGTCTTTACCACATGTTAGGTATTGTTCTAAGCCCTTTAGGTAATACTCACATGAGGTGGGCTCATTATTATCCCCATTTTATTTTTTTATTAAAAAAATTTTTTTTGGATGGGCGTGGTGGCTCATGGCTATAATCCCAGCACTTTGGGAGGCTGAGGTGGGCAGATCATTTGAGGTTGAGAGTTTGAGACCAGCCTGGCCAACATCATGAAATCCCATCTTTACTAAAAATACAAAAATCTACCAGATGTTGTGGCATGAACCTATGATCCCAGCTACTCAGGAGGCTGAGGCAAGAGAATCGCTTAAACCTGGGAGGCAGAGGTTGCAGTGAGCCAAGATCCAGCCACTGTACTTCAGCCTAGGTGACAGACTGAGACATCATCTCAAATAAATTAATTAAATTTAAAAATAATAATAATGTTTTGAGAAAAAGAATAATTTTTTTGAGACAGTCTCTAAAAACAATTTTTTTTTAAAAGATGGGGTTGTACCATGATGGCCAGGCTGGTCTTGAACTCCTGACCTCAGGTGATCCACCCACCTCGGCCTCCCAAAGTGCTAGAATTACAGGTGTGAGCCACCGCGGCCGGCCTCTAAAAACAATTATTTTGAGATGGAGTCTTGCTCCTTGGGAGGCCGAGGCGGGCTGATCACCTGAGGTAGAGAATTTGAGACCAGCCTGAATAACATGGAGAAACCCCGTCTCTACTGAAAATACAAAATTAGCCAGGCCTGGTGGTGCCTGACTGTAATCACAGCTACTCAGGAGGCTGAGGCAGGAGAATCGCTTGGACCTGGGAGGTGGAGGTCGCAATGAGCCAAGATTGTGCCATCACACTCTAGCCTGAGCAACGAGAAACTCCATTTCAAAAAAAAAAAAAAATTAGTCAAGGGTGGTGTGCGCCTGTGGTCCCAGCTACTTGAGAGGCTAAGGTGGGAGGATGAACCCAGGAGCTCAAGTCTGCAGTGAGCCGAATCATGCCATTGCACTTTAGCCTGGACAACAGAGAGGGAGATCCTGTCTCAACAAAGAAGAGGAGGAAGACAAAGAAAGAAGAAGAAGAGGAGGAGGAAGAGGAAGGAGGAGGAGAAAGAAAAGGCTTTCAGTGTGTCGTAATTTTCTGGCATCAATGAGAATTGGTACTTTTCCCAGTGATTTCTCCTGTGATTCTCTCAGGCTGTCCCCTAAATCCAGGCATTCCTTAAGGTTTTCTCAGGACCTCCTTTGTTTTCTTGCCGGACCCTCTCCCTTGACCATAAGCCATCTCACACTACTCCTAACTCCTAACTCCAAGGCAGTGACTCCTAAATGAATCTTTACCACCCTGAGCTATCTGTGCACAGAGGGACAATGTGTGCTGATGTCTAAGGATGACACTTAGACCACAGACCAAGAACATAGGTAACACCTGTGCATTGTAACAAAGCCCTAGATGGGAGGTTGGCAATCCTTGTCTTTAAAGGGCCAGATAGCAAATACTTTCAATTTTGTGGACCATGGAGTTTCTCTGTCCTGATTATTCAGCTTAGTCATTGTAACATGAAAGCAGCCACAGACAATGTAAAATCAAAAAGGCATGGCTGTATCCCCATCGGTTTTTATTTGAAAAAACAGGTAACAGGCAGGAGCTGGTTGTGGTTGACTAAGCCCTTTGATCATTGATTTTAAAACAAGAAGCCCCTTCTGAAACCACTAGGAGAGAAAGAAAGAAATGAGAGGGAGGAAAGAACTCAGTTTTTCCCTCCCACTTACTCCAACCAGAGCAATTTAGTTTAATCTATTTGTTTACAATGGCTAAGATTTCAAGTTTGAAAGCTGCTTATCTACCAGTTCTCTGAGTTTCATTCTAGGTATGAATCTATCACATCCTTCAATCTAGCCAGCGTCTGCTTTGATCCATGTTCTCTGCCAAAGTAGTAACCGAATTGCCCATTTCTGATCATATTACTTATTAATCTTCAATGACTCCCTGTGAGTCATTCCCAAGCTTCCCCCTTAATCTAACATACCTTCTCCATCAGCCACCCAGGGCTCTATGCAGGAGACTCCCGAAAGGTGCTTTTCTTCTCTTTTTGCATGTTTTCCCCTTGCCTGGAAGGCTCTCTGCCTCCCATCCCCCGCTCTTTGTAATCATCTATTTTCCCACCCAGAAGCAGCCTCTTTTCTATGTTCCTGCTGTACTTTTTAATCAGGCTTTGCTGTGTGCCTGTCCTAGCTCCCCTGCTGGATTAATTCTCCTTATTAAGGGCAGGAATCACATTTTGTACATCTGTGTACCCAGCGTAGTCACTAGCATAAAACCGTATCCATAGCAGCTATCTGAGTTCTTCATTTAGATTGAAAGAAGGCATGCCCTAGCAGAGTGCATCCTACCTGCCCATATATTTTTTCACCTGTCTGTCATCTTCTCACTCCCACCTCCTCCCACTGTCTATAGAAGGCCAGCATTACAATGCCCAGGTGTTACCTATGTTCTTAGATTATAAGAATAGCTGATTGATGACTGGGAGCTAAAGGAGTAAGATCCAGGTGAACTAGCAGTGAACAACACATGAGAAAAGGGCTTAAGAAAGAGACAAGTCTAAAAGCCTTGCATGACAGGCAGGCATAAGCTGTCTGGCCCAAGTGGGCAAGGTCTAGGCTGAGGCAATTGCCAGGGTTTGGAGAGGCATTGTTTTACAGTAGAAAGAGAGAAGCAGGTCTTGGAAAATAACTTGCGTAGTATTTACAGCTGTTTATCATTAGGTGGATTTCTAATCCTCTGAGCCTTATCTGTAAATTAGGAATAAAGTATCTTTTGCAATACTCTGAGAGTTAGGAATAATGTTCCTCGTACAGAGCATACAGAGCAGGGGCTCAATAACTGGGGTTACAGGTTGTGAAGAAAGGGAGCAAAGAGGCAAATAAGATATAAAAAAAAAACAAAAAGAAGGAAAGGGTAGTTCTTAAGATAAATATCGGCTAGTCACGGTGGCTCATGCCTGTAATCCCAGCACTTTGGGAGGCCGAGGCAGGCGGATCATCATGAGGTCAGGAGTTTGAGACTAGCCTAGCAAATATAGTGAAACCTCATCTTAACTAAAAATACAAAAATTAGCTGGGTGTGGTGGTGTGCGCCTGTAGTCCCGGCTACTCGGGAGGTTGAGGCAGAAGACTCACTTGAACCCAAGAAGCACAGGTTGCAAGTGAGCCAAGATCACACCACTGTACTCCAGCCTAGGCAACAGAGTGAGAGTCCGTCTCAAAAAGCAAAAAAAAAAAAAAAAAAAGACGAATGTCTTTATTTTTCTCTGTAGAGACAGTCTTGCTATGTTGCCCAGGCTGGACTCAAACTCCCGGCCTCAAGTGATCATCCCACCTTGGCCTCCCAAAATGTTAGGATTATAGGTGTACACCAAGCCCGGCCAAGCTGAATGTCATGAACTCCTCTTTTTTTTCCCCCCACCTATGACCAGCAAATAGCATTGGGCTCCTTTTAACCATGGCTGAAATGAGACTATAATGATGTGTGGTATGTGCAATAGGAATCACTTGGGAATCTTGTGGAATGACAGATTCTCATTCAGTAGGTCTGGGTGGGCCTGATATTGTACATATATGATGTAATTCTGCTGGTCTGTGAACCACCCTGTGAGTAGCAAAGTGGTTGTCCACGTAGGCTGTTGACATAAAAACAGCTGAGTCAGCTGGGCTGCCTGGTCTGCTTCTCTCACATGCCTAAAAACTATGCTTTCAAGAAGAAGGAGGTCAGCTGAGGGAGGTTAAACTCTGTCAGGGAGAACAGCACCACGTGGAATGATAAGGGCCAAAGGGTACAGAAATTACAAGTGAAAAAGAGAACTTGTGTTCTTTGGGGCTTATCTACAGACCATATTCAGACACAAGAAACTGGATTTAAATTCTTCTCTGGAGATGCTAATCTCTTTGGACCTTGGCTGAAATGCTGGAATTAAAAAAAAAAAAAGATTAAGCAAGATAGGATTAAGAAGCTTTTGCAGCAAAGCACCTACATTTGACACAGTTTCATTAGCAGTAAAATGAGAATAATAATAAAAATACCTAAAGCAAATGTAGTAAATCAGTCATTGCAGAATCTAGGTGTTGGAAGTGTAGGTATTCACTGAACAATTCTTTTATTTATTTATTTATTTATTTTTGAGACGGAGTCTTGCCCTGTCGCCCAGGCTAGAGTGCAGTGGCGTGACCTTAGCTCACTGCATCCTCCACCTCCCGGGTTCAAGCGCTTCTCCCACCTTACCCTCCTGAGTACCTGGAATTATAGGTGCCTACCACCATATCTAGCTACTTTTTGTAGTTTTGGTAGAGACAGAGTTTCTCCGTGTTGACCAGGCTCGTCTCGAACTCCTGACCTCAAGTGATCTGCCCACCTTGGCATCTCAAAGTGTTGGGATTAGAGGCGTGAGCCACTGCACTTGGCTCCACTGAAAATTCTTTCAATTTTCCTGTATGTTTGAAAAATTTTCATAGTGAAATGTTGAAAAAAATATGCTTCCAAATAAGGTTGAAATGAGATAAAATGGAGTAAAATAGATGAATCTAAATAACATTAGCCCAGTCTCAACAGTAGTTACTCTCTAAGGGACTTTCTTTTAGCAGTTTTAGAAATTATTTCAGAGGCAGAAATATGCATAAAATATTTCTGAAACGATACGTAAGACAAGGAAGCATTGATTGGCTCCAAGGAGGGGGAACTTTGCTAGTAGAGGACAGAATGGAAGGGAGACTTTTCACTATATTCTCTTCTGTAAGTTTTGCATATCAGATCATGTGTATGTATTACCTATTCAAAAATAAATAAAATTATGGCCAGGCTCACACCTGTAATTCCAGCACTTTGGAGGCCAAGGTGGGCAGATCACTTGAGGTCACTAGTTTGAGACCAGCTTGGACAACATGGTGAAACTCCATCTCTTCTAAAAACACAAAAATTAGCCAGCTGTGCTGGTGGGTGCCTATAATCCCAGCTATTCAGGAGGTTGAGGCAGGAGGATTTCTTGAACCTGGGAAGTGGAGGTTGCAGTGAGCCAAGATCATGCCATTGCACTGCAGCCTGGGTGACAGAGCAAGACTCCATTTCAAAATAAATAAATAAATGAATAAAATAAAAATAAAAATGTAGAGCTCTCAAAGTCTAATAGTTTGCTTCTCTTCCAAGCAGTTTAATAATTAAGTTGCAGAACTTGCTGGGCATGGTCCTTGGTTATCAAAGAGGTCAATGTTTAGCTTCACTGAAGCAGTACATCACGAGGCTGAACTGGCCTATGTGCAGCCAGCTGGCTCCCTCTATTTGAGGACATTTTTAGCTATGAGCCAAAGGACTGTATTTTCCATTCCTGTGTTCCAGACACGGCTGAGCTCAGGAAGTATCTAGGTTGGGTAGCTAGAGAAGAATGAAGGGGTCAGAGGCAGACTGCAGGTCTAGTAGATGTGTGTTAGAGGACACAGCCAGAGCGAGGGAGTGAAGAGCTGCACGTCACGGCTGGGGCATAGTCCTGTGTAAGGAATATTTCACATGTTCCACACTTAGAATTTACATAGTGTTTACAGACATTGCCTTCTCTGAGTCACCCAATTTCTCTAGATGGCAAGTGGGCAAGGATTTTGTCCTGTCTTACCAAAGAGGAAAACTGAGTGTGGTGACCATGACATATATTGCTCAGACATCCTTCCAACTGCAGGGAGCAGTTGACTGAGGGCCCCTGCTGCCTTCTGAACTCCATCACTGTGTGTGAGCTGAGGCTACACACCCAAGGGCTAATTCCAGCCAGTGACAGAGTGTGGCAGGGGTGTTAAGGCAGGCTGATACTTTGGAGATATGGGACTCCTCTGATGACTGAAGTGCTCTCGCAGCCTTGCTGAACTTGCCTTAGAATACACTGTAATGTAACATGCTTCTACCCGCCCTTCCATTTTTTCCTCTCTTCTTCACTTAGGGTGAGGCCTGCATCGCAGTCTGTTGGCCCTGCCAGCCTCTCCTGGCTCCTTTGAATTTTCTTTAGAAGCGTTTCCTGCAAGTTGAATACTGTTTTGGCATCAGATATAGATCTGGGTGATTCTAGGCGTGCTTGTAATCAATGCAGTATACTGTCTTTGTTTTCAGAAATTCATTTCAGCTTGAATCATTAGATAGGCACATCTTTTCCTTACCAGCATATCATTTTTAATACTTGACTTAAAAGTTTATATGTGTGTGTGTGTGTGTGTGTGTGTGTGTGTGTCATTCTGTGTGGCATATTATATAGGCAAAGAAATGAAAATTAGCCGGGTGCAGTGGCTCATACCTGTAATCCCAGCATTTTGGGAGGCCAAGGTAGGTGGATCATTTGAGGCCAGGAGTTCAAGAGCAGCCTGGCTAACATGGTGGAACCCTGTCTCTACTCAAAATGCAAAAAAATTAGCTGGGCATTGTGGTGCATGCCTGTACTCCCAGATACTCAGGAGGCTGAGGCAGAAGAATCACTTGAACCCGAGGTAGAGGTTGTAGTGAGCTGAGATCATGTGAATGCACTCCAGCCTGGGCGACAGAGTGACTCTGTCTCCAAAAAAAAAAAAAAGAAAGAAATGAAAACTATTTTATGTTGTTGAAAATATAATTCCAGTCCAGGAGCCATGGCTCATGCCTGTAAACCCAACACTTAGAAAGGCCAAGGCTGGTGGACTGCTTGAGCCCAGGAGTTCTAGACCAGCCTGGGCAACATGGCAAAACCGTCTCTACGAAAAATACAAAAATCAGCAGATGGTGCACCTGTAGTCCCAGTTGCTCGGCAACCTGAGGTAAGAGGATCGCTTGAGCCTAATAGGCAGAGGTTGCAGTGAGCCAAGATCATATTACTGCACTCCAGCCTCGGTGACAGAGTGAAACCCTGTCTCCAAAAAAAAGAAAAGAAAAAAAACAAGAAAGACAGGTTCTCACTGTGTTGCCCAGGCTGAAGTGCAGTGGCTATGTACAGGCGTGACCATAGTGCATGACAGCACTGTGATCTCCTGTGATCACTCTTGAACTCCTGGGCTCCAGTGATCCTCCTGCCTCAGCCTCCTGAGTAGCTGGGACAACCAGCACATGGCACCATTCCTGGCTATTTATTATTACTGTTTTTTTTGAGATGGAGTCTCGCTCTGTCGCCCATGCTGGAGTGCAGTGGCACGATCTTGGCTCACTGCAACCTCCACCTCCTAGGTTCATGCAATTCTCCTGCCACAGCCTCCTGAGTAGCTGGGATTACAGGTGTGCACCATGACACCCAGCTAGTTTTTGTATTTTTACTAGAGATGGGGTTTCACCACATTGGCCAGCCTTGTCTCATACTCCTGACCTCAAGTGATTCACCTGCCTTGGACTCCCAAAGTGCTGGAATTATAGGCATGAGCCACCATGCCTGGCCCATACCTGGCTATTTAGCTTTTATGAAGACTTTGAGGTATTTTTGTTGTTGTTGTTCTTTGTATAATTTATCCTCCCCCATTCTCCACTCCATTTTTCTTTCTTTTTGAGACAGTGTCTTGCTCTGTCACCCAGGCTAGAGTGTAGTTGCCCAGTCTTGGTTCACTGCAACTGATCAAGTGATCTTCCCACCTTAACCTCTTTAGTAGCTGGGACTAGATGATACAGGTGTACACCACCATGCCTGGCTAATTATTGTAGTTTTTTATATAGATGAGGTTTCACTATGTTGCCCAGGCTGGTCTGGAACTCCTGAGCTCAAACAATCTTCGTGCCTGCCTCCCAAAGTGCTGAGATTACAGGCATGAGCCACTTCACTTTTCCTTGTCTTTATTAATGCTCTGGAGTTTGTAATTATGTGGCTAACCTCGGGGTTCTGGGAATTTACTCAGACCAGGAGAATTATCTTTTGCAGGTGGCCCTTGTGGCTTGGCAAGGAATCTCATAAACCCACACATGCTGGTGAAAGGAGGAGATGGTTTAAGTCTTTTGAAATGGCGGCCAGGCGCGGTGGCTCAAGCCTGTAATCCCAGCACTTTGGGAGGCCGAGGTCGGTGGATCACAAGGTCAAGAGATCGAGACCATCCTAGTCAACATGGTGAAACCCTGTCTCTACTAAAAATACAAAAAATTAGCTGGTCATGGTGGCACGTGCCTGTAATCCCAGCTACACAGGAGGCTGGGGCGGGAGAATTGCTTGAACCCAGGAGGCAGAGGTTGCGGTGAGCCGAGATTGCACCATTGCACTCCAGCCTTGGTAACAGGAGTGAAACTCTGCCTCAAAAAAAAAGAAATGGTGTCATCAGGAGGATGGAGACATTGTTAGTTGTGATCAGGACACCATTTGACATAGTGTGGGAGGAGGCAGAGCAACCAGCAGGCTCTTCTAGGCTGTTCTTGGAGTTGGCTGGCAGCAACCTGATTGGCAATAGCTGTTGGCCTGAGTTCCCAGGACTCCATTCTGAGTTCATTCTGGTTGAACAGAATATTTTGTGAGAACAATTAGGGCCTTCTCCCTAAAGTGTGCTTGGCTGGAAGAGAAAGCAGGAGCCCTCAAGGGCTAATAATTTAGGAGTGGCTGACACTGAAGTGATGCATGGAAGAAAAGCTACCAAGCCAGGGAGGTGGAGGGCAGTTTGAAGCAACTCGGGTAAGTGAGGTGTGTGAAAGCAGTCCTTCTGCTCATGCGTCCCCCACAGAGACAGCAAGTGTGGCTAGAGACTAGGAGGAGTGTGCCAAAGCCAGAGGGCCACAGGAAAGGGAAGGCTTGGGCAGCAGAACAAGGCTTGGTGAAGACATGAAGAACGTCTTCAGGGAACTGTCTGTGTAGCCGACTGGTGATAAGCTGGTCTTGTTGAGTCAGTGTAGTAAGAAATCGGTACCTTACACACACACACACACACATGAAAGAGAGAGAGTGGGAGAGAGACAGAAAGAGAGAGAACAGTATTGCCTTGCCTCTTTATAACAGAGATCTCAGTTACTGACTATATATGCTGGGCTCTTCAAGAGCAGGGGTCAGGAATTTTTTTTCTTTTTCTTTTTTTTTTTTTTTAGAGTCTTGTTCTGTTGCACAGGCTGTAGTGCAGTGGTATGATCTTGGCTTACTGCAATCTCTGCCTCCTGGGTTCAAGCAATTCTCCTGCCTCAGCCTCCCCAGTAGCTGGGAGGCTTACAGGCATAAGCCACCGCACCCGGCTGAGGAGTCATGAATTTTACCTCTGTTGATTCCCTAATGTTACCCAATACATGGCTGCACACTTGCCAGGGCCTCCCTGAATACAGTTTATTATTCTTTTGGGCATCATGGAAAACAGGTTCTTGACATCCTGCCAATGTGTGCTATGCTAAATGGTTTGCGTGCCCAAAAGCACAAAAGTTCCCCACCTCATCTTCAACATTCTTCCTCCACACATTTTTAGGGGTCTACCTAACCGTTCAGTTCTAATCACATCTTTCACTAAGCATGAGGTTTGTTAGTGCTGACAGCCAATGCCAGATTAAACCTCTGTGTCCCTTAGCCATTTGCAGAGAGGCCTGGGAAATCAGCCATAAACAAAAGGCACGTGGGGGTGAGAAGATAGGCACGGACAGGGAAATTGCTCATTCTGATGGTGAAGACAGTCCTGAGAGGCCCGAGAGAAAACGTTACAAAGAAAGGAAAACTGAGGGCTTCTACTTTGTCCCAGATTTATATCTGCAGGCATTCTTTTTTTTTTTTTAGACAGAATCTCTCTTTGTCACCCAGACTGGAGTGCAATGGTGCAGTCTCAGCTCACTGCAACCTCCACCTCCCAGGTTCAAGTGATTCTCCCGTCTCAGCCTCCTGAGTAGCTGGGATTACAGGCACATGCCACAATACCCGGCTAACTTTTATATTTTTAGTAGAGATGGGGTTTCACTATGTTGGCCAGGCTGGTCTCAAACTCCTGACCTTGTGGTCTCCCCACCTCGGCTTCCCAGATGCTGGGATTACAGGTGTGAGCCACAGTGCCTGGCCTGTATGTATGATTTTCTACCCATTCAGAGACTGGTAAGGAGCTTCGAAATCTTCTCAGTGACCTTCACAGCTGCTTGGAGAGTGTGAATTAGGGATTCTCATTAACAGGCAGAACCATCACAAGAAGTCTAGCATGAAGTGAATGATGGTAGTATACAGTCCACTGCTAAGAGATGTGGCACGTTACTTTTGTTTGTAAAACTTCTCTGTGTTACACTTTCTGCTTACAAAAGGAGAAATACAGGCTCACTGAACATTTTCCAACATTATAGGAGATATGTAATATGGAAAGTGGAAGTTTTTTTAATAATCGCAGCCCATATATCCCAGATCACCATTGCCAATTATCTGGTATATCTCTCAAGATGGCACGCTTTGTGATTTTGAAGCAGACTGTGTCTTTTTTTTTTTTTTTTTTTTAAACAGGATATGGCTCTGATGCCCAGGAGGGAGTGCAGTGGTGTAGACTTGGTTCATTGCAGCCTCCACCTCCTGGCTCAAGCCATTCTGTCACCTCAGCCTCCTGGATAGCTGGGATAACAGGTGCATGCCACCATACCCAGTTAATTTTTGTATTGTTTGTATAGACAGAGTTTCAGTATGTTGCCCAGGCTGGTCTCCAACTCCTCAGCTCAAGTCATTCGCCTGCCTCGGCTTCCCAAAAGTGCTAGGATTACGAGCCACCATGCCCAGCCACGTTGTGACTTAAACTATGCAATATTTTTGACTTCCAAAAATTGCACCACAAACTGAGATTCCTTGGCAGTTTGGAGTGTATGTCCCAATCTGTGTGTAAGTGTGTGTAAAAAAAAAGAGAGAGAGAAATAATAAAGGTAGCAAATCACTTCTATTTCTTTTCTGGGAAATAGTCTTCAGTTCTTGATTTTTATCTTTCATGGGAAATTGTGTTATTAAGTAGGTAGCCAGATCATTTCTTTAACATGAATATGTTAAAATTTAGTTCAGTCAGAGACTACCCCAATCAGAATCTCCCCAGCCTTCATTAAATAAATAAATAAGAACTGGTTATGAGCCTCATATGCTCACCTGGTGGAGAGCTGTCAAGAACATGGTGATATGCAAGTAATCCCAACACTTTGGGAGGATGAGTTGGGAGGATCACCTGAGCCCAGGAGGTTGAGACCATCCTGGTCAACATACCAAGACCCCTTCTCTATTTAAAAAAAAGAAGAAGAAGAAGAAGAAGATGGTGATGGTCATCTAGATGTGTGGTTTCTGCTCTGAAGTTCTTATGAGCACATGAAGGGAAGGGGCCATGTTTTTGATGCCTAGCAAGGATATTCTGCAGTGGTGGCTTGAGGAGAAACGCTTTTGTAAACAAATACGGGGGATCCTGCAAGTTAAACTTTGACTCCCTCAGGAAGTAAGACCATGTGCATTTTGGGCACACCCACTCAGCGCACCAGCCACTAAGCAGTTCCAGAGAGTAGTTCTTATGTTTCAGGGATACACGGTGCTTGGAGAAAGGAGATAGAGGCCTAGATGCTTGTTCATTTTGTAACACTGTGGCTGCTTTGCTGAGTTTATGCTCCCACATCCATATTTTTACAGAACATTTGTGGGAATATATTTTGGCTTATGAATTAACTTGCAATTTGAGACCCCCTAACTGACAATCTCCAAGCAGCTATGGGAGTCCTTGATTCAGATGCATGTGTAAAAGTTTGCTTGGATTTTCTAGGACAGTGAGCTGCATTTAACTACCAGCTTTCTGTAACCAAGTTGCTAGGTAGAATTTAGCACTCATCAGGGACTTCTCTGGTTAGCTGTTTAGTTTTGCGAGCATTAAATACAATCTAATATAAATATCCACCTAAAAACCACACTTTGGTCATTGGCCATTGGTTATAAAAATAAAAAATAAAAAACCACACTTTGGGCTGGGCATGGTGGCTCACGCCTAGCACTTTGGGAGGCCAAGGCAGGCAGATTACTTGAGGCCAGGAGTTCAAGACCAGCCTGGCCAACATTGTGAAACCCCATCTCCACTAAAAATACAAAAATTAGCTGGACATGGTGGCAAGTGCCTGTAGTCCCAGCTACTCCAGAGGCAGGAGAATTGCTTGAACCCAGGAGATGGATGTTGCAGTGAGCCCAGATCGCGCAAAGCACTCCAGCCTGGGTGACAGAGTGAAACCCTGTCTCAAAAAAGAAAAAAAAGCTGAGGCAGGAGAATCTCTTGAACCTAAGAGGCGGAGATTGCAGTGACCCGACATCACGCCACTGTACTCCAGCCTGGGTGACAGAGTGAGACTGTCTCAAAAAAAAAAAAATCAAGATGCATTATATGTATGGTATTAATTTAACTCAGCTCTTGGTTAACTAGAGACATTTAGAGTTAGCTGTATTTGGATTTAGCTGTTCTGAATTTCCAGAATACAGGGTTACATCTGTAGACCTAAGCCAGCCTGAGATGCCTTAATGTAGGGAGTGGATGGGTGGGAGAGTGTTTTTGAGTTCGTTTTCCATTTCTGCTGTATCTAATCAGCATCTGATTGATGAATGTCAATGAGAGCAGATACATGGCTGATCTTTATTTCAGTTTCAGAATAATAGACTCTGTTTCTTCTCCTTTGACAGTAGATGAGAGTGAACATTTTTGGAAGCTTAGAAAAGTGATGTTGCATCCAGGCACAGTGGCTCATGCCTGTAATCCCAGCACTTTGGGAGGAGTGGCAGGCACATCACCTGAGGTCAGGAGTTTGAGACCAGCCTGGTCAATATGGTGAAACCCCGTCTCTATTAAAAACACAGAATAGTCAGGCATGGTGGCACATGCTTGTAATCCCAGCTATTTGGGAGGCTGAGGCAGGAGAATCGCTTGAACCTGGGAGGCAAAGGTTGCAGTGAGCCAAGATCTTGCCATTGCACTCCAGCCTGGGCGACAGGGTGACACTCCATCTCAAAACAACAACAACAACAACAACAAACCCCATGGGAAGCCGGGAACAGTGGCTCACGCCTATAATATCAGCACTTTGGGAGGCTGAGGCGGGTGGATCACCTGAGTTCGGGAGTTTGAGACCAGCCTGACTAACATGGAGAAACATCTCTACTAAAAATACACGAAATTAGCTGGGCGTGGTGGCGCACTGCTGGAGTGCAGTGGTGTGATCTCTGCTCACTGCAACCTCCGCCTCCTAGGTTCAAGGAATTCTCCTGCTTCACCCTCCTGAGTATCTGGGGCTACAAGCATGAGCCACGATACCTGGCTAATTTTTGTATTCCAGCTACTTGGGAGGCTGAGGCAGGAGAATAACTTGAACCCAGAAAGCAGAGGTTGTGGTGAGCCCGGATCATGCCACTGCACTCCAGCCTGGGTGACAGAGTGAAACCCTGTCTCAAAAAAATAAAAACGTAAATAAATGAATAAAAATAGAAACACAAAAAATTAGCCAGGTGTGGTGGCAGACACCTGTAGTTTCAGCTACATGGGAGGCTGAGGCAGGAGAATTCCTTTTACCCAGGAGGCAGAGGCTGCAGTGAGCTAAGATTGTGCCACTGAACTCCAGCCTGGGTGGTAGAGTGAAACTCCATGTCAAAAAAAAAAACCAAAAAACAAAAGTGATGTTTCTATGGTAGATGCCATATTTTTTTTTTAAAGGGAGTTTTACTCTTGTTACCCAGGCGTGCAATGGCGTGATCTCGGCTCACCACAACCTCCGCCTCCTGGGTTCAGACAATTCTCCTGCCTCAGCCTCCTGAGTAGCTGGGATTACAGGCACGCGCCACCATGCCCAGCTAATTTTTTGTATTTTTAGTAGAGACGGGGTTTCAACATGTTGACTAGGATGGTCTCAATCTCTTGACCTCGTGATCCACCCACCTCAGCCTCCCAAAGTGCTGGGATTACAGGCTTGAGCCACCGCGTCTGGCTTATTATTTTTTTAAGACAGGGTTTCTCTGTATTGGTCAGGCTGATCTTGAATTCCCAACCTCGGGTGATCCACTGGCTTCAGCCTCCCAAAATGCTGGGATTACAGGTGTGAGCCACCATGCCCAGCTGGTAGATGCCATTCTTACAGCATAACTTTGTATCACAAACCTTTTTTATTTTTTCATTGCAGTGCTCTAACTTCAAAGACAGATTGTTTTTGTTTTTTATTTTTGAGATGAAATCTTGCTCTGTCACCTAGGCTAGAGTGCAGTGGGGCAATCTCGGCTCACTGCAACCTCTGCCTCCTGGGTTCAAGCGATTCTCCTGCCTCAGCCTCCTTAGTAGCTGGGACTAAAGGTGCCCACCACCACACCTGGCTAATTTTTTAATTTTTATTTGTAGTAGATATGGGATTTCACCGTGTTAGCCAGAATTTTCTCAATCTCCTGACCTCATGATCCACCTGCCTCAGCCTCCCAAAGTGCTGGGATTACAGGCGTGAGCCACTGTGCCTGGCCTAATTTTTGTATATTTAGTAGAGACAGGGTTTTGCCACGTTGGTCAAGCTGGTCTCAAATTCCTCACCTCAAGTGATCGGACCGTCTCAGCCTCCCAAAGTGTTGGGATTACAGGTGTGAGCCACTGCACCTGGCTATTGATTTGTTTTTTGTTTCTTCTTTATTTATTTTTCTCTGCCTCTTTGCATGACTCAATCAGATGATTTTGTGTTTGTTTTGGAGATCTGTTAAAATTACATCAGGCTTACTTGACATCAATATAGCCTCACATTTTAGAAGATAAATTCTGAATTCTTGATGGGATTTCATACTTACAGTAGTGTGGTAATCACATGTCTGCTAAACTTTGGAAATCATGGTCTTTTGGATTTTTCTTTAATGAGATATTAAACTGAATGTGGAACTTTGAGTAATTGGCCCAGATAAAAGAAATGACTTATCCAGGGATGACAAAAATTGATCCTGACCTTGAGGATTTCACTCTGCCAACTCAGAGAATCAGATACACTAGCATTAATTGGTGAAGTCATGGTTCTCCTCAGTTGTTTTTGAGTCATTAAGAACTAATATTAGCCCAATCAGAAGCCAACCTAAGAAAAGAATCTTTGCCAAATACAATTCCAGAGCTGGGATGTTGAGGTAGACAGTGAATATAATGGTTAAATTATTCCTAAAACTTTAGCTCAGTTCTCTTTCCAAAATTAGTATACTAATAGAGATTTAAAAAATCACTCATTTTCTCCTACTCCTATTTCCTACTGGTTCTCAATCAATAGGATTCAGAAATGAAAGGATGAGATATCTTCACAAAAATGAAGGAAGCCAACCTTGAGCTGGCCATGGCTTCTCAAGCTTGCACCTATAGTCCTAGCTCCTTGGGAGGCAGAGGCAGGAGGATGGCTTGAGCCCAAGAATTTGAGGTTGCTTGGACAACACAGCGAAACTTTGCCTCTCAAAAAAAAAAAAAAAAAAGATATGGAGCCAAAAGAAAGGGGTTCAGGGCTTTTATCCCCCCCGCAAATGTGGCTAGTCACAGCACTTGCCTCCAACAACATGGCAGAAGAAGCTATCCCATAGGCTTTTTCTTTTTTTTGTGAGATGGAGTCTTGCTCTCCTGCCCAGGCTGGAGTGCAGTGGCACAATCTTGGCTCACTGTAACCTTTGCCTCCCAGGTTCAAGCAATTCTCCTGCCTCAGCCTCCCAAATAGCTGGGATTATAGGCGCCTGCCACCATGCCTGGTTAATTTTGGTATTTTTAGTAGAGATGAGGTTTCATCATGTTGGCCAGACTGGTTTCAAACTCCTGATCTCAAGTGATTCGCCAGCCTCAGCCTCCCAAAGTGCTAGAATTACAGGTGTGAGCCACAGTGCCTGACTCCATAGGCTCTTTTATTGGCTGAAGATCTATGGCCCAGGCCGTTTTATGCACACAGAAGCATATAGAGAACCACTGGGTTAGATAATAAGTAGGGTCTCCTTCTAAAAATCTAGGGTGGTCAGCTGAGTTTCATAACTCTTGTGATTTTTTTTTTTGAGATGGAGTTTCGCTGTTGTTACCCATTCTGGAGTGCAATGGCACAATCTCGGCTCACCGCAACCTCCGCCTCCTGGGTTCAAGCAATTCTCCTGCCTCAGCCTCCTGAGTAGCTGGGACTACAGGCGTGCACCACCATACCCAGCTAATTTTTGTATTTTTAGTAGAGACGGGGTTTCACCGTGTTGACCAGGATGGTCTCCATCTCTTGACCCCATGATCCACCCGCCTCAGCCTCCCAAAGTGCTGGGATTATAGGTGTGAGCCACCGCGCCTGGCCAACTCTTGTGATTCTTAATTCTGGAGAAAGAGCAAGAAATAAATAAATATGTAACCTACAGGCTTTTTTGAGAACCACTTAAGTCTGATGATGGACACATAGGTAGTGTAACCACCCAGTGGGTTCACCTTGTTGGCTGCCTAAATAGAGCCAATTTATCAAGACAGGGAAATTGCAATAGAGAAGGAATAATTCCCGCAGAGCTGGCTGTGCAGGAGACTGGAGTTTTATTATTACTCAAATCAGTCTCCCTGAGTGTTCAGATATCAGGGTTTTTAAAGACAATTTGGTGGGTGGGGAAGCCAGTGAGTTGAGAGTAGTGATTGGTCAGGTCAGAGATGAAATCACAGGGAGTTGAAGCTGTATTATTTTATTTTATTTATTTATTTTTTAAAAGATGGGGTTTCACCATGTTGGTCAGACTAGTTTTGAACTCCCGACCTCAGGTGATCTGCCTCCCTTGGCCTCCAAAGTGCTTGGATTACAGGTGTGAGCCACCATGCCCAGCCTGAAGCTGTATTCTTGCACTGAGTCAGTTTCTGGGTGGGAGGGCCATAAGCTCAGATGAGCTAGTTGCTCGATCTAGGTGGTGCCAGCTGATCCATCAAGTGCAGGGTCTGCAAAATATCTTAAGCACTGGTTTTAGGTTTTATAATAAACCTAAAATTTAGGTGATTTTATCCCTAGGAGGAATTGGAGAGAGTCAGAGTGTTGTAGCCTCCAGCTTCATGACTTCTAAACCATGATTTCTAATTTTGTGGCTAATTTTGATAGTCCTACAAAGGCAGTCTAGTCCTTTGTAAGACTATCAAAATTAGCCACAAGATTAGGCAAGAGGGGGTTTGTTTTGGGAAAGGGCTGTTACTGTCTTTGCTTTAAGCTATAAGCTGAGTTCCTCCCAAAGTTAGTTCAGCCTACACCCAGGAGTGAACAAGGACAGCCTGGAGATTAGAAGCAAGATTAAAGTTGGTTAGGTCAGATCCCTTTCACGGAGAAAGAGACAATTTTGCAATGGCCATTTTAATGGTGTGTGGGTGAAGAAGTGTGTGTGTGTGTGTGTGTGTGTGTGTTGTCTGTGTGTTGAAGGGTTTTTTTTTTTTTTTTTTTTTGAGACGAGGTCTTGCTCTGTCACCAAGGCTGGAGTGCAATGGCACGATCTTGGCAACCTCTGCCTCCCAGGTTCAAGTGATTCTCCTGTTTCCGCCTCCCGAGTAGCTGGGATTACAGTGCGCCACCAAGCCCAGCTAATTATTTGTATTATTAGTAGAGACAAGGTTTCACCATATTTAGTAGGCTGGTCTTGAACTCCTTCTGGGATTACAGGCATGAGCCACTGTGCCCAGCCTGAAGGCATTGTTCTTAACTTTACATAGCCTTCTTCTCCATCTACTCATAACAAACAATTCCTTTCTGGCCCCCTAAGGGAATAACGCTCAGTTTTTTTTTTGTTTTTTTTTTTGGTCTTTTTTTTTTTATCATGACCTCATTCCCTCTTGCTCTTTCTTTCAACATTTATTCAATGAACATTCACTGAGGACCTTTAGACATTTATCCCTCAGAGACAGCATAATATAACTGAAAAAACATTGACTTCAAAGGATATAGGCCGGTCAAGCTCATGCCTGTAATCCCAGCACTTTGGGAAGCCGAGGTTGGCAGATTACCTGAGGTTGGGAATTTGAGACCAGCCAGACCAACATGGAGAAACCCTGTCTCTACTAAAAATACAAAATTAGCCAGGTGTGGTGGCGCATGCCTGTAATCACAGCTACTCAGGAGGCTGAGGCAGGAGAATTGCCTGAACCCAGGAGGCAGACGTCGCGGTGAGCCGAGATCGCGCCATTGCACTCCAGCCTGGGTAAAAACAAGAGCGAACCTCCGTCTCTGAAAGAAAATAATAATAATAATAATAATAATAATAAAATAAAAGCCGGGAGCGGTGGCTCACACCTGTAATCCCAGCACTTTGGGAGGCCAAGGCTGGTGGATCACGAGGTCCAGAGATCGAGACCATCCTGGTCAACATGGTGAAACCCCGTCTCTACTAAAAATACAATAAATTAGCTGGGCACGGTGGCGTGTGCCTGTAATCCCAGCTGCTCAGGAGGCTGAGGCAGGAGAATTGCCTGAATCCAGGAGGCGGAGGTTGCCGTGAGCCGAGATCGCGCCATTGCACTCCAGCCTTGGTAAACAAGAGCGAAACTCCATCTCAAAAAACAAAAACATACAAAGAAAAACAAAACGGGCGTGGTGGCTCACGCCTGTAACCCCAGCACTTTGGGAGGCCAAGGTGGGCAGATCATGAGGTCAGGAGTTCGAGACCAGTCTGGCCAATATGGCAAAACCCCATCTCTACTAAAAATACAAAAAAATTAACCGGGGGTGGTGGTGTGCACCTGTAGTCTCAGCTACTCAGGAGTCTGAGGCAGGAGAATTGCTTTAACCCGGGAGGTGGAGGCTGCAGTAAGCCAAGTTCATGCCACTGCACTCCAGCCTGGATGACAGAGCGAGACTCCATCTCAAAAAAAAAAAAGGAAAGAAAGAGAGAAAGATTGAATCTTTGTACGAATAAGATCCTGCAATCTCAATGTGACAGAGCCAGGCCAGGAAAAATTTGCTGTGTGAGGCTACTCCAGACCACACTATTTAGCTTGTCTTTCAATAATAAAGGAACAAAAACAACTCAGTTCTCCCTGAGAAGGTGTGAGACTAGAGTGCAAAGTGGTGAAAACTTCAGCATTGAGAACAAAGCAAAACAAATAAAATAGATTAAAGGTAAATAGAATGTTTCTGAATTTGAAAAAACATAAGTACCATCAGCCCGCTATATCTGTGGATTCTGCATTCATGGATTCAATCAACTGCAATAAAAATATTTTTAAAAATGATGTCTGCACTGAATATGTACAGAGTTTTCTTGTCACTATTCCCTGAACAACACAGTATAACAACTATTTACATAGCATTTACAGTGTATTAGGTAGTATAAGTAACCTAGAGATAAATTAAAGCATACAGAAGGATGGACATAGGTTATATGAAAACACTGTACCATTTTGTATCAGAGACTTGAGCATCCTCTGATTTTTTTTGTACAGATTTAAGAGATACAGCAAGTACAATTTTGTTTCATGAATGTATTATGTAGCGGTGAAATATGAGCTTTTAATGTAACCACTGTCCAAACAACTTTGGATTTTGATATCCAATGGAGGTCCTAGAACCAATGCTCCATGAGTCCCAAGGGCTGATTATATTTGAAGATTTTGTATCTATTTACAATTGTCAATAATTTATTGAGCTTTTATGAGTTAAATGCTTTACATCTCAAGTATCACGTGAACTCATAAAAACTCTTTAATTTAAGTGCTTTCATTACCTTAATTTACAGATGAGAGAACTGAGGCATAAACAGTTTAAGGAGCTTTACCAAGACCATACAACCAGTAAGTGGGTGAGAATGAGAACTCAAGCTTGTCTGATATAAAGCCAGACCTCTTCACCAGGAGGGACACTGATTCACCTTAAGCTCTTTAAGAGTGTTGCATAAAATAATAGCAAGTTGGAATCGTCACACTTAAGGACTTTTGTATAGTTTCCTATTAGAACTGCAAAGCCACGTTTAGAATGGTGGTTTTGAAATGGTATTCAAGTGCTTTACAAACCAAACACCAAATGAAGGAACTCAAGAAAAATTTGAGAATTATGAGGTCCATGCAAGATTTAATTCAAATGACAGCAAGCTGACACACTACATATTATTTTCCTGGTTTGATAATAATATTTATGGAAACTTTTTCAATATTTCTTGAGATATCTTTTTCATCTTTGTCTCTTCATTAACTAGTATAAGACCTGAACTATGATATATTTTAATAAAGATTTATTGAAGAGAAAGAAGAATTTGGTCAATTTGTGTCCCATCCCCATCATGCTTTAATGAATATTCAAATGTGTAGACTGTATGCCTACATGGTTAGCTTTTTTTTTTTTTTTTTTGAGATGGAGTCTCGGTCTTGTTGCCCAGGCTAGAGTGCAGTGGCATGAGCTTAGCTCACTGCAACCTCCACCTCCCAGGTTCAAGCAATTCTCCTGCCTCAGCCTCCCGAGTAGCTGGGATTACAGGCATGCACCACCATGCCTGGCTAATTTTATTTTTTGTTTGTTTGTTTGTTTTTGAGATGGAGTCTTGCTCTGTTGCCCAGGCTGGAGTGCAGTGGCACGATCAGGGCTCATTGCAACCTCCGCTTGCCAGGTTCATGCGATTCCCCTGCCTCAGCCTCCCAAGTAGCTGGGATTATAGGTGCTTGTCACCACACCTGGCTAATTTTTTTTTGGTATTTTCAGTAGAGGTGGGGTTTCACCATGTTGGCCAGGCTGGTCTTGAATGTCTGACCTTGCGATCCACCCACCTCTGCCTCCCAAAGTGCTGGGATTACAGGCGTGAGCTACTGCGCCTGACTAATTTTATATTTTTAATAGAGATGGTCTATTAAAAATAGTTCAAGACCATGTTGGTCAGGCTGGTCTCGAACTCTCAACCTCAGTTCGTCCTGCTTCGGCATCCCAAAGTGCTGGGATTGCAGGCATGAGCCACTGTGGCTGGCCTACATAGTTAATTTTTAAAACATAGGTAACTAAATACTAGTTAGCCTGAATAGCCTTAAGAGAGATTCACAGAGAGTCAATTACTTTGCCAAGGTCCTTTAGCGAGTATGTGATAGAACCAGGATTGGGCCGGGTGCAGTGGCTCACGCCTGTAATGCCAGCACTTTGGGAGGCCGAGGCGGGTGGATCATGAGGTCAAGAGATCAAGACCCTCTTGGTCAACATGGCGAAACCCCGGCTCTACTAAAAATACAAAAAATTAGCTGGGCATAGTGGCGCGTGCCTGTAGTCCCAGCTACTCGGGAGGCTGAGGCAGGAGAATTGCCTGAACCCAGGAGGCGGAGGTTGCGGTGAGCCAAGATTGCGCCATTGCACTCCAGCCTGGGTAACAAGAGCAAAACTCGTCTCAAAAAAAAAAAACAAAAAAACAAAGCTGGAGGCATTACACTATGTGACTTCAAAACAGCATGGCACTGGTACCAAAACAGAGATACAGACCAATGAAACAGAACAGAGGCCTCGGAGGCAACACCACACATCTACAACCATCTGATCTTTGACGAACCTGACAAAAACAAGCAATGGGGAAAGGATTCCCTATTTCATAAATGGTGTTGGGAAAACTGGCTAGCCACATGCAGAAAGCTGAAACTGGATTCCTTCCTTACACCTTATACGAAAATTAACTCAAGATGGATTAAAGATTTAAACATAAGACCTAACATCATGAAAACCCTAGAAGAAAACCTAGGCAATACCATTCAGGAGATAGGCGTAGGAAGGACTTCATGACTAAGACACCAAAAGCAATGGCAGCAAAAGCCAAAATAAACAAATGGGATCTAATTAAACTCCAGCTCTTCTATACAGCAAAAGAAACAATCATTAGAGTGAACCAACAACCAACAGAATGGGAAAATATTTCTGCAAGCTACCCATCTGACAAAGGGCTAATATCCAGGATCTATAAAGAACCTAAACAAATTTACAAGAAAAAATCAACCCCATGGAAAAGTGGGCAAAGGATATGAACAGACACTTCTCAAAAGAAGACATTTATACAGCCAACAAACATATGAAAAAAAGCTCATCATCCTTGGTCATTCAAGAAATGCAAATCAAAACCACATTGAGATACCATCTCATGCCAGTTAGAATGGTGATCATTAAAAAATCTGGAGACAACAAATGCTGGGGAGGATGTGGAGAAATAGGAAAACTTTTACACTATTGGTGGGAGTGAAAATTAGTTCAACCATTGTAGACAGTGAGGCGATTCCTCAAGGATCTAGAAATAGAAATACTATTTGACCCAGCAATCCCATTACTGGATATATAACCAAAGGATTACAAATCATTCTGTTATAAAGACACATGCACATGTATGTTTATTGTGGCACCGTTCACAACAGCAAAGAAAAAAACCAACCAAATGCCCATCAATGATAGACTGGATAAAGAAAATGTGGCACCTATACACTATGGGATACTATGCAGCCATAAAAAAGGATGAGTTCATGTCTTTTGCAGGGACATGGATAAAGCTGGAAACCATCATTCTCAGCAAACTAACACAGGAACAGAAAATCAAACACTGCATGTTCTCACTCATAAGTGGGTGTTGAACAATGAGAACATATGGACACAGGGAGGGTAACGTCACACACCGGGGCCTGTTGTGGGGGATGGAGAAGTAGATGAGGGATAGCGAGGGCGGGGGTGGATAGGGCAGGGATAGCATTAGGAGAAATACCTAATGTAGATCACAGAATGATGGATGCAGCAAACCACCATGGCACATGTATAACTATATAACAAACCTGCATGTTCTGCACATGTACCCAACAACTTAAAGTATAATAACAACAAAAAAAGCAATATCCATCAGGATTTCATATATATTTACCCTTTAACCCAGCAAACCAACTTCTAGAAATACATCCAAACAACACACTAGCTTCATTATTGTTAATCAGAAAATATTAAAAATCATATTTGTATAGCTATTGCAGCACAATCTGTAATAACAAAAAATAAAAATGACCCCATATTCATAAATAGGAAACTAGCTAAATAAATATAAGTACATTCATACAATGTAGTATCATGTCATACCATGTAGCTGTAAAATGGAATAAAGAGTATCTTTATCACTATGAAGATGTCTCTAAAAGTACTGTTAAATGAGAAAAGCAAAATGGAGAAAAATATCCATGGGATGATGCCACTTATCCAAGGAAGAAAGAGAATATAAGTACACACACCACACACACACACACACACACACACACACACACCCCACACACACCCCTTTAAAACAAAGCAATGTGGAGAGGTAGGGTATAAACAGGGTAAAAGGGGTGAGATAGATGCTGGACTTACTTGATTTTTGAATGCTGTATGTGTTTTATAAGATTACAGAATAAATTTTAAGCAAAAAACTTCTAAAAGCTTAAAGCAAGATAAAATAAATTAACCTAGATTTTGTACTGAATTGGCAACATTAACATAGATAAAACAATTATTTCAAGTGATTTTAAAGCATAAAAATCAGACCACATATTCTTAGAGGAATATACCTGAAGGACAAAAAGAACTTCTTGCAAACTATTTTCAGTGATTCTAGGGTCTGAATCTTTGTGGCTCCCAAAACTCATGTTCTGAAATCTAAACCTCAATGTGATGGTATTAAAAGGTGGGACCTTAGGAAATGATCATGGCTTCACCCGAGTGAATGGGATTTGTGTCCTTACAAAAGAGGCTAAGGGAGTATCTTTGCCCTTTCCACCATATAAGGACACAATGAGAGGCACAGTCTATGAACCAGGAAGTGGGCCCTCACCAGACATCAAGTCTGCCAGTGCCTTGACTTCCCAGCTTCCAAAACTGTGATAAATCAATTTCTGTTGCTTATAATTTACCTAGTTTATGGTATTTTGGTATAACAGCCCAAATGAAGTAACGCAAGTCATTACATTGTTTGTAATATTAAATTTAATATTCTGAAAATATTTATGAGATCAAACTAAGAAATAATCATGTTAATATCCCTAGGGGATAAATGCTTGAGGGGATGGATACCCCATTCTCCATGATGTGCATATTCTACATTGTATGCCTGTATTAAAACATCTAATATACCCTATAAATATATATACCTACAGGCAGGCACAGTGACTCATGCCTGTAATCCCAGTACTTTGGGAGGCCAAGGCGGGTGGATCACTTGAGGCCAGCAGTTGCCAAGACCAGCCTGGCCAACACAGTGAAACCCCATCTCTGCAAAAATTAGCCAGGCATGGTGGCACACACCTGTAGTCCCAGCTACTCAGGAGGCTGAGGCAGGAAAATCACACTTGAAACCAAGAGACAGAGCTTGCAGTGGGCAGAGATTGCACCACTGTACTCTAGCTTGGGCAACAAAGCAAGACTCTGTCTCAAAAAATTACATATATACATATACACCTACATACATATATATGTATATTATATATATTGTATACATATATATGTATATACACATATATATGTATGTATGTATACATCTACTATGTACTCACAAATATTTGAATATATAGGCTAAAAATTATATATATATGTGTGTGTGTATATATATATATATATATATATATATATATGTCTCCCAATGATACATATATCACTAGGATACAAGATTTTCAGCAAAGAGAAACAAGAAATGTTTACATCAAATAAAAACTTGGTAAATCTAAATATCAATTTGAAATACCCGTATAAACTTAAGGTGTATTTTCTCATTAAAAAATAGACAAATACATTTCCTAGCTCTTTCCATTGAAAAGGCTTAGAAATAATCACCGTTCCAGTAGCAGTAAGCACTCTAACACTCAGATTGTGGTTTCTAAATACCTTTTCCAACCAAAAGGAACCAGATATAGCTGAAGAAATGGCCCATTCTAGGCCTCTGCCATGAGATGAACCTGGAACATTTTGCCAAACTAGAAAGCAAGAAAACTATCATATGCTATCACAATTATCAAAATGGTCCAGTAGCTCATTTGAAAAGCATTACACTGGCAAGGATGGAACAATGTGAACATTTAATATTAATAATCACTGCAATGGGTTAAGCATGGTGACTCACACCTTTAATCCTAGCCCTTTGGAAGGCTAAGGTGAGAGGATCACTTGAGGCCAATGACACAGTAAGATCCCATCTCTACCAAAAATAAAAATAATAATAATAATAATATAAAATGTTTTTAAATAACCAGGCATGGTAGTCCTAGCCAGTCAGGAAACTTAGGCAAGAAAGAGGATTACTTGACTTCAGCCTAGGCAACACAGTGAGATCCTGTATCAAAAAGTAATAATAACAACTGCAATAGATTAAAACACATAATATATGTTTAAATACATTAGATTATTATGATTCTAAAATAAATACTCACTGGCTACCTTTGGAGAGTGTTAGGGAATTAATTCCATATTTTGAAAGCTGATGAATGGAAAGAAAGCATCACACAATCCCTTGCCTTTTCTATACCAACTATACTTGAGGATAGGCAAATAGTTAATGAGGGATAGTATATTGCCTTACAGAAACATTCCAGTTTATGACTCGTGAAGGAATTACTGAATTATATTATCATCATTTTTGCAAACCCTGATAAAATAATGAATGGAGGAAATGATCATTATTGGCTCCTAACATCACCAAAAGAGAAATAACCAGACATGTCTCCTTCGGAAAGTAGTTACTACCTCCTATACAGAGAAGCTTGTAGATCACTCAGTTTCTAATAAATAGGTAGGGGAACGAGAATCTCACTAAATGACAGTTTGAGAAGGCAAAATCAAGAATGTGAAAAATTCTACAGAACGAATGACCCAAGATTTTCAACTAAAAAAATTGCAAAGTAAAAAAATGAGTGAGGAAGAGAAAGCCTGTAAATTAAAAGAGAATTAAAAAACATACAAATCAATTGCAATAGACAAACTTTATTCTAATCTTGATTTGAACAATCATTTTTAAAAAAAGATTTCTAACCAATCTGGGGAATCTGACCACCAATTAGCTGTTTGATGATATTAAGGAATTTTTATCAATCTTATGACAATGGTAACATGATTATATCTTAACAGAGTGTTCACCTTTCAGAGAGATACAAACTAAAATTATGAATGAAATGATTCAATGTCCTGGATTTGCTTCAAAATGATCCATCTGTGAGTAGTAGCAGGGAGTTAAATAAAACAGGATTTGCCATGAGTTGAAAGTTGTTCAACAGGTGATGAGAACATGGGTATCCTTTACTGCTTTTTTCTCCTTTTTGTATAAAGATAATTAAAGTTTAAAATTCCAGAACAATCACAAATATCCAAATTATCCATCTTCAATATAAAGGTATCTTATTTCTCTGGATAAATATTAAGGCTTGGGAATAAAAACCACCTATTTTATAGCTAAATCAAGAAATATCTCATGTATTAATAGTTCCATGACCAACCTTTAGAAATGAGGGACAATATTATTTTAAAGTATCTTGGCAGAATTTCTTGTAAGAACAGAACTATCTTTTGTTAAGCAACATACCTTGATGAGCCATTTAGGTAGAACAATGGTGGTAGTCTAGAAGATGGTATAAGAATGAGAAGAATAAATGCCTTTTAATGACTAAAAAATGGAAAGAATTGGGACATGCACAGGAAGCTGAGAAGTGAATGGCCTCAGAAGGAAAGAGAGAAGATCTAAGAAAGCACAGACAATGAGGAAACCCAGCACCCTAGAAGGAAGTCTTTTCCATGAAGAAATTTTACCCTTGGCACGTGACTGACAGCAACTCAGGCAGAGGGGGCAGAGAAGGAGCCAGTGATGCTGCCCAAACTTGGGACCTATTCCTTCCCCTGGAAAGTCAATACAAGCCAAGTTCCTGATGGGAGCACACTGAGAACATTTGGCAGGTTGTGCCTCTATGATATGGTCAGTCCAGAGTGATGCTGATGGCTCAGCATGGATCTGATCCACATCAGGTTGTTTGCACCAAGTTGGTGAAGCCCTTTCAAGCCCACGTGGGCTCCGTGTACATTGTCCTCGGGGAGCTCCAACTCCAGCAAGATGGAGACTCCCTGGTAAAGGCACTGGTGCTGAACTGTGTGGAGGGGATGGACCTGTCCTTGTGAGAACAAGCCAAGCAGGAGCAGAGGCAGTACCAGTGGGAGAGGGATGGCAGCCAGCAGGAAATGCAGCCCAGTAACACTACCTGTTTCTGAGGCCAAACCCTCTGAAGCTACAGGAGCATCCCAGAGCATAAGCACTTCCCCAGCGACTGCCTCATCTAAAGCCTGAAAGCAGAGAGGGAGGTGGTTAATCCAGCACCTTCCCCTAATTTGGGATTGACTCAGAAAACAGGCCCCAAGTCCAACATCCCCTAACCCCCAGAGACTGTAGGCAGCTCAGCTCCAGACTACTGTAGCACGCCTTGTGTGGGTCATGGAGGGTTCCAGAAGGTCCTGGTGAATAAAGGCCCAGAGGGTGTGACCTTGAAAAAAAAGCAAGAACATTTCAATGCTAGCTATGGCTATGAGACTACATAAAACAGGGATGGCTAAAATTTCATTTGGAATTACCTGCTGCACTATAAGGCAGTGTGACCACCCCTGCGACCCTCCGTTATTGCCAATTCTCAGTAAAAGCAAGGCTCATGCAGCCATATGTGAGTGGTTCTTGGAGAAGAACCAAAGGTTAATGTTGAGCTGATATAGGCAGAAGAAAGAGACAACAGCAAAAGAGGAAATGTGAGGTTAGTAGAAGCAGAAAACTGGAGCAACATATGACTGAGCTATATGGACAGCCCTCAAGAATTCTCAGATATGGATGGAAAGGGTAGTGCAAAGCCTGTGGGTAGAAGCTTGAGCCAGTTCATTTGACAATTCAAAGAAAATATAAATACATAACAAAGGATGCCTCCCAAAGCTGGAAGATTTGGAAACATCCAAGAAGTGAACACCTGGGGGACAGTTAGAAGGCAATGCAGACCACCAAGTTCTATAATGCCATGCTATTAATTCTGAAAAAGACCCAAGACATACCCAGAACAGCAGTTTTAAATCTGGTCCACAAAGCCCCTGGTTTCTCAAAGATGACACAGGGACTTCCAGACAGTCCCCTCAGTTTGGGTCTGTCTTATTCCCTTCACACTGTTGTAACAAAACACCATAAACTGGGTGGCTTATAAACAATACACGTTTCTCTCTCATAGTTCTAGAGGTTGGGATGTCAAAGATCAAGGCACCAATAGATTTGCTGTTGGGTTAGGACCCACTTTCTAGTTCATAGATGGTACCTTCTTGCTGTGTCTTGACATGGTAGAAGGGGATCTCTTTGAGGCCTCCTTTATAAGGCACTAATCTCAAGCATGAGATGCTCTCATGACCTAATCGCCTCCCAAAGGCTCCACCTCATACTGTCACATAATTAGGTTTTAACACAAGAATTTTGGGTGGACACAAACATTCAGCCCATATCAGGCATCTAATCTAATCCTCGCTTCATCCAGAAGAATTTAATCTATATTACATCTTAAGATTCCATGTCATATGTTATTTTTAAAAATTATTTTTGCTCCAACTAACACAAAAAACAGAAAACCAAACACTGCATGTTCTTGCTCATAAGTGGGAGTTGAACAATGAGAACACATGGACACAGGAAGGGAAACATCACACACCAGGACCTGTGGGGGGTGGGGTGCTAGGTGAGGGACAGCAGGGGGTGGGGGGATGGGGAGGGATAGCATTAGGAGAAATTCCTAATGTAGATGACGGGTTGATGGGTGCAGCAAACCACCATGGCACATGTATACCCATGTAACAAACCTGCACATTCTGCACATGTATCTCAGAACTTAAAGTATAATAAAATTTAAAAATATATATTTTTGCTACTACACAGAAGAAGCAATGATGTCTTCTAATCTCTCAATACAGAAAGGCAAAATTGATAAATGCTAAATAACTTGCCACAATCACACAGCAGAGTTGTTAAAAAGCCGTTCTAATTTTCAGTCTGCTCATTCCTCCTTCTCAGCTTCGAGACTGACAAAGGTACCAATAGAAAACAGATGTACATTCAGGGTTAGATTGGCTTCTGCAGTATTAGAGGTTCTCATCAAACAGAAGTCCCCATTGTCTGGAGATCTGGAGTCTTCTCACTGCCATAACCAGGTAGTAGAAAAAGGCTACAAGGATAGAGGAAACTCCTGCCCTCTTTCTGCCTGGGGCAAATATCTATTCTAATACAGGTTCAAGGCTCTAGAGGCTGACAGAAAAGTCCACATTTTCTTAACCTATCCTCCCAAAAAGGGCTGCAAGGATGTCTTTTTTCCACTCCATGAGACAGTCTGAACTGCCTTCCCTTACATTCCCACAA